GTGTTGCCTTGGGTTAGACTCAACAAGTGACTTCAAAGCATCAATATTAATTCCAACATGTTGGCCCCTGCCATCACAGTTTTTAAGGCTAAAGTCACCTGAACGAAATTTGCTGAACCATCGTTGACACGAACGTTCAAAATATTTCCATAACCTTCTTTGATGTTCTTTGTGGCTACAGAGACGTTGCTTCCCTTCTTGTATTCAAACAGCATTGCATGCCGAATGTGTGCCTCGTCTATAAGGGATTATACTAAACTTTACACATTATATAAGCTACACTAACGTGACGTTTAGGCGGTTCATTTAACTATTATACGTGATGTAATTTTTTTTGGGGGGGGGCGATTAATGAAATTGTTCCAAAATGCGACACTAATTTCTTGACGACCTAATGGATTCGTAATGTTCGGACTGTAAGTAACTTTTGGCAATTGTTATAGATATTTCCCGGAAATTTAAAAAATGATTTAATTTCTATATTATGATAATCCTTTAGCTTTATTAGTTAAACAATTTATTAATGAGTTTACTTGGATATATCTTGAACAGTTGTAAAGAGTTTATACAGATTTATACTTGTGAGTGTAAAACACTTAAATGCACCATTTCGATTTTCGATATCTCACTACTATAAAGGCTTGGTTTGGTCTGCAGTTTCATTGGTGGTAGTGTCCAGGGTCACTGATGAGGAGTGGAATTCTCCGAAACTTGTTTGGCTCACAAACACACCCTCAATGAAAGAATAGACCATTCCAAGCTTTTACTTGTTGTTAAACAAATGTTTAAACAACTCTATTCAACAGATTTATACTGTTTTTTAACTGAAAAATAAAATCAAGATTACTGCACTAGACCTTTGGAAAAAAATATAGAAATGTTCTATTGGCTTTTAGTATTAATTTAAGTTCCTAATTAAAATATAGTGCTTTGTGGGTTTCGTTAGTTGTGTTTCTGACTGGAAATAACACACAAAGTAATAAATCTAATAACTGCGATGTTATTCTACTTGTCGGTTTTCCTTGAAGATATCAAACGCCAGCAGTAATCGAGATTTGTTTGTAGACTCTCTGGTAGCATCAGTTCGTGACTGTTTATAACGGGCAGATACTGCTAGAAGCAAACTATATATAAAATGAAAATAATGCACTTACCTCTCGACTTTTTAGCATCATTGTGGTCAACTTTAAAGGAATCATCTTCATTCTCGTTTTCAGAAGTATCGTCGTCACTAGCTGGCACTTCATCCACATTCAAATCCACAGTTCTGTCGTCACCAGTTTTGGTTTTTGGTTTCCACGTCATTTTTCTCTCTTTCTTCAAGCGTCTCCTAGCGTTAGCAAACCACGTGGACACTTGTGTTAAAGTCATTTTGGTTAATATCGCCAGCATAATTTTTTCTCCTTTGGTAGGATAAGGATTCTTCCTATGTTCATATAGCCAGGCTTTTAAAGTGTTTGTAGTTTCCCGAGTCGCATTTTTCCTTCTGTTTACACCATCCAAAGGTGACCCGTATCTACAAGACAATGTTAAATTAATTTTTTATTATGCGTTACGTAACTATACGAGACTATTGTGATATTCACATTTAACAACTAAATAGGACAATATAGAAAGCTACAATAACAGTTAGTGAGTGGCAAAAAAAAACTTGGAAATATTAACAAACTACAAAATCAACAACAGCACAGACATAGGCATTCCTAAATTGTTATGTAGACAATTTATTATTAGTAACTGAATAACGGTTTGAAAGTAAAAAGTAATAATCAGAGTAACATATCCCTGAAAAAAATGTGCAAAAAGTTACAGTATACAGAGTCTATTAGAAAGTACTGTATATTACATTTCTATATTTTTATTACATTTGATTTAGTATCTATGAATGGGTGGAGATTGTACTTACAAAAAAAGCTTAGGCACTTTTACATAGTAATCTCTTGATTAAAAATGCATGTTGATCTTTTCACCACAGAACAAATCAGTGATCAGAATTTGTTTCCACTATGTACAAAATCATATATCAAAACATGTGTCCACTGTGTAAAATGTGATGGACATAAAACCCACTTGGAGTGGAAATTATCCAAGAAAGCCGAAATATGATGTAAAGGTGAAGATTTAAAGAACATGAAAAACGTAACGTCTAAGAATTTTGAATTTTATTTAGCACCTAAACATAAGTGTTTACTGTGTAGTGTTCAGTATGTTTCATTTTTCATGTACTTAACAATTTATCTTCATAACAGTAAATTTTACTCTAATGTCCATTATATGATGGTTTGTTTTTAATTTTTCGTAGTTTTGGAATCACAGGCTAATTTCGTTTCCTAGAATACTCATTGCCGTTCTCATGAAGAAGCGAGTAAGATGAAGGTGATACTGTACAGTGTTAAATTACCCAAAAGTTGGAGATGATCATTTTGTTGTTCTTTACGATTGTATCAGATGTTGGTGCTCACTAATTTATACAAGAACTTGATTCCTCTTATGTTACATCGGTCTTCAAGGAAATGTGTAAATGAGTTTTGAAAGAAGCTTCAGGTAGTGTTTGAGAGATTCTTGTATTATTCCTTGGTACAATAGGGCGTTTATAGATTAAAAAGAAATTGAAACAGTCGCTGGTGTCAAAGCTTCGAACAGAAAACACATACAATGCTGGACCAATAAACTAACATGTTTTATTTAATATAAAGTATATAAGACATGACCTGCAGAGTAATCTAGTACGAATAACAAAAAAATGCATCTACAGCATAAGAAAGTCTGCAGATGCAAATAATTGGTTAAAATCGCAATAAGGAGAAAATAATGATGTAGTTAACATTTCGGTCAAACGACCTTTATTGTACCCGTTGAAGGTCGCTTGGGCAAAACCCGATGAACATTCTTCAAAACGTTAATCACGTAATTATTTTTCCCGTACAGCAATTTTTTAAATCATTTCTTTGTATTTACATAGGGATGTAGGTAACTGCTGGTAGCAACTGACGTGGCAATTTTTTTATCAGAATAAAAATAAACGTAACGAACTTGCTGTTATTATATAAAGCAGATTTATTAAAACATGAACTCCTTGGCCGCGTTTCTTTGTATGTTTCTGTTAAATAAAATTGATTGAAACTGAGAATGCCCCCCCCCCCAGTGGCACAGCGGTATGTCTGCGGACTTACAACGCTAGAATCCGGGTTTCTATGCCCGTGGTGGGCAGAGCACAGATAGTCCATTGTGTAGCTTTGTGTTTAGTTACAAACAAACAAACGAAACTGAGAAAAATCAAGTGCGAACAAAAACAATGCACAAAAACTTTGACGAGCCCAGTGTATATAATTTCATGTTCTCATATTTTCTAGAATTTACTAAGCGCGGAAAAACTTCTTTGATTAGAAGTCTATTTTCATTCAAAGCTGTAAGGTAAGAAACTCCATAAAGATGTTTTGGGTCTGTGATCTTGCCTGATACATTATGTGTCGTTTCAAAATAACTTTAAGGGAAAATAAACTTATAGCTTTACTTTGTCTTATCTCTTTCTAGGAACGTGACTTGTTGCCTAAAGTAGCTTTACAAAACAGAAGTAGTTGAATTCAAAATTAACTTTACCGATACCGGTGTCTTTTAAGATTACCTTGCTGTACGCTATACTATCAAAAACTCTTAAGTTTGTGATACTCAATCCTTATAAAGTCCGCGAATGATAAGGTTTTAATACTTTTGTTTAAAATGACTTTTTGTACAGACAAGTAAAATGTTTTCTCACTCTTGTAAATGTAAAAAGAGAAATTGGTTGCCTTTACAGAAACACCAATACAACGTGACTTGTATAATCTGACCATACACTTTATTCGTAATGTATGTAACACGCTGATGTGATATCAGGATCTGTCTGTATAACTAGGGTGATTTGTGTAACCTGAACTGTTTCCCACATCAACGCACGTAACTAACATGATTTGTTTGATGTTGCAAGATTTATAAATCCGTTTAAGCTGAAAATGGAACCACTAAAAACAACTATTTTATCTAAAACTCACAACACGTTTTCAGAACTCAGGAATAATGACAGTTAGTTTTTTAAATAGAAAAGATAATTATGTTGGTTAACGAGCGCTACTAATATAATGAATAATCCATTGGTCTTCGCTAATAAACAAAAAAATTAAGTGTTATTGCTTATGTATTAACTTTGGAAACATACCTTTCGGAGAAATTCCCGTATGCTGCAAATACTGCCGGATCATAGGGATAGTAAGAAGCAGCTTGAGGTAAAGAGCTCCATGTTCCTCTGTTATCTTTGAAATCATACGATCCAGTCTGCAATACAGAATTGCAGAAGCAAAACTGTTATTAGCAAAAGTTATATGGAACCTGTAAGGCAACAAAACAAAGTATTTATCATGGTACAAACATGCCCGTCTGTCTAATTACAGAGCAGATATATTTTTATCTCTGTGAATTGGTATGTTTCCAACGAGACTAATTAACGATGTCTTCTTTTTTTCTTATTAAATTTTTCCTTAATCAAACGCTTTGAACATGTATAAGTCTAGATTTTGTAATACTTATTATGACCGTTTTATCCAAGTTACTGTACTATTCAAAAAGTGTAATTTTGTTATTATGGTTTACAAATTGACCAATTCATGAGTATGTTAATAGCAAATCTGATAAAAACTGGAACAATTTGTACATAAGTTTACGACATGTTCGTGTCAATTTAGAAGAACCTAACTGACTACTATTTGTATTGATTAAAACATTTTGTCAGGGTTTTAAAATTATCGTAAAATATAATAACGTTTACTATCAGTGGCCTGGTGAAAATATAGTTGATATCAGATTAGGAATATTTGTTAAAAGTTAGTGTTAAAAGAAGTTCATTTGTTTAAAAGATTTCTTCACACTTGTAAAAATTTAAAATTACGGTAATTAGGCTCTAATAGAGTAAATATGATATTTTGGGTATTGGCAACAATCTTGCAATTACCTTTTCATATTACCCAAATTCTGATTTTCATAGATAACACCAGAGTTGTTTGAAGTTATGGAGCTGTTATAGAGTTCATCACAGCCGTCTTGTAAATATACATACACAAACATATAAATAACTCAAAGCTAAATTATTAGGTCACAATAGGTTTTGTTTTCGTGATAATTATTTATTTATTCTTAATGTTCATATATTTTGAATACAATATATTTTAGTCCAAATTTATTGTGTCTACATCACAGACACATTAAATTATGTATGTCTCTTTGTTCTGTATATCTTCCTTTTTCTGTTAACTGACGAGACATATCTATTGCGTGATTGCTTCTATGTTTTCAACAGGAATTCACTGTTCTGCCTCTTAGCTCCTCTACACACACACACACACACACACACATATATATATATATATGTGTGTGTATAGCACGTTAGCTTTTCCTGTGTATTTCTCTTCCAAAACAGATTATCTACATATCTGGTAAAAATATATCACATAAAAACAAAAGTCTTCAGAGTTACTGACATGCAAATCTACGTAGCGAAATAAACGAATCTTATGAGACTTAAGACCCATTCGAGCAAATGGTTTCATAATATAATTTATCTGTATTTGATTAAAATCAAAACTGCTGGTACTGGTTAACATACCTTTATCACAACTCAACTAGTGAAAAGTGTTTAGTCAGTGTGGTATTCCTGACAAAGTTCATGGTAAAATTTTGAAATATCTAACGTGTTTTAATAGGTCATGATAATCAGTTACTCCTATTTCAGTTTGTACTAATGTGATAATATTTAGGCCTAACTTCACTCTTAATACAGGTTTATGGTTCTAAACATGACAACATTTAACGGGAGGTGAGCTCACCTTTTATCAAAGTAAGTTACCTACATGAATTAGAACTAAATATTAACCTTGCAATTAATATATCTAATTTAACGTATCAGCCTAAGTACAATTATGCAATGCCATTAAACAAAACATTATAGTGTTTAGAATGCATTAATTCATTAAATAGGTACCTTTGCTGTGAGCAATGTTTTCGGCCGTAATCCTTGTAATACGTCTTGCTGACTAATAATGATCATATTTAATACTAAGCTCTGCCTTCCTAATTCCAGACTTGTATGATAACAAGTAGAAGTTAGCTTTTCTTAAATATAAATATTTTACGACACAACTGTACGTGGTCTTATAAGATAGTTTGAACAACATATTTTTAGTTCTGATCTATGAAAGTAGCTTGCTTTGATCAGACTTTAATGTTAATTCTGGATGATTTTCTTGTTTAATTCAGAAGAAAGAATTCAACTATAGAATACCGATTCACACATACATAGTATCGTATGATATTAAGCATTTAGAACAGATAAAATAACTTCCTATGTGCTAATTCATAAACCAAGAAACTGCTATAAAAACTGTGCAGTCGCCACTCATTTGATACAATAAGATCCATTGAACTGTCAAGAATTTAAACATATTTATTCATCAGTATTTTTATAAGGAAACATAATTAACGATTAGTCTAAGATTTTTAGGCTTTTCTTTTTCATAATTAAATAGAACAATTAAAGTCTATATGTTTATAAAATTCTAGAAGATATATAAAAATTAAACATGACAATAACAACAGCCTTTTGTTCTACATCCGTTCGTTTTATAACAACTGATGTTGAAATACCTGTATAATAAGATTCAGTGTGTGTGCGTGTGTCACGTAACCCTTCCTAAACCGCTGGTCTCAACAACTTCTAAATGGTACCAAACGAACCATCTCGGTCCTGAGGTTTACACAGGAATAAAAATTTTCACTCTACCCCTTGAGGAACGAGATTTCCCCTCCCCCCAAAAAACCTTCTAATGAACTGTTGGACTCATCAAACCTCTAAATGGTGCCAAACGAATTTTCTCGGCCCCGAGGTTTGCACAAACGTAAAACATTTCATCCAATCCCATAGGAAACCCGGGTATTTCGCGAAAACACTTTTACGGGAATTCCTCGAAAGCGGACCCCAAATTTGGCATTTATTTACATTAGAGCACGTAAATAAGTAGGCATACTAATTACCATTCGTAACTTGGTTAAAGAAATAAAATTTGCATTATAGCGGCGATGATCATTAAACTGAAAAGGTACAAAATAGTAGTTCAAGCATTAAATTTGCATTATAGTGGCCATGTAAATGTGGCCCACGGGTTCACTAAATGGTGCCAGATGAATTATCTCGGCTCCGAGGTTTACACAAAAGTATAACTTTTCACCCAACCCCTTAGTAGTTCAAGCATTAAATTTGCATTATAGTGGCTATGTAAATGTGGCCCACGGGTTCACTAAATGATGACAGAGGAATCGTCTCGGCTCCGAGGTTTACACAAAAGTATAACTTTTCACCCAACCCCTTAGTAGTTCAAGATTTAAATTTGCATTATAGCGGCTCTGTAAATGTGGGCCATAGGCCCAAGTGTTCGCTAGTATTTACAGAACTACTGCATAACGAAATGACTTTTGTTTTACAAAGTTTAAAGCTACATTTTATCGAGATTTCTTTATCATAAAAGTTTCTTCCGTTGATTTTGCAGTCATGAGTATCGAAGTCTATAATTAATTATAAAAGCATATCAAAAACATATAGACACAATTTATAACCCGGAATGTGTTCATACTCTTATGAACCAAGAATAAAATACAAAAAAAATATCCCATTCTTTTATTGCATTTCATGAGTAGTTTCGCCGTCTTAGAGATATGATAATTTGTTTACATAACTTTTCAATACCTACCAGTGAAGAATATAAAGCCGTTGGACTCGACCCTAACACCGCCATGTAACCGGCTTGGTCTGGGTAAGTCGCTCGGTATAGTCCGTTCATTGGTACATTCCCTGTTGCTAGACGATGTGGGTACGTGCTAGACAAGAGACGCGTTTCATAAGAAGGAAGGGGACAGATGGATCGTGAGGGTGCATGAGGGTTCCCGAGTATAGCAGGTTGGCATGGGTCACAGGAATTCGAAGCGGAATGATGTCCTGCCATTAACAACTGTATAAAGGAGCGGAAAAGGGAGTAAGTTGTTTGAGGTAGAAAAATAGAGTAATACTGTAAATAAATTACAATCACTCAAACGGACAAATCATTCTTTCTCCCACGTATGAAAGAAACGTACAATTTAATAAAAAACGAATTATATTATCTAGAATAGAAAAACAGAAAAAACAAGAACAACACAATACGACAGAAAATAGACCAACGCTTCAAACAAGTTAACCTTTAACATGTAAGACTGAAAATAATGCTCGTAAGGTACTTACTCCAATTACTTCTGTTTTTTCTTTATTCGACATAAATATATAAAATAAAACCATGTTAAAAGTTAGGAATTAAAAATCTACACACACTTTTTTTTCTAAAATTCTTATATGTAAAAGTAAATATCAACATGTTTATCTCTTAACTTCTGGAAATTATCGTAGAAATTAACGGTAGAAGTATCATAATGCTAATCATGTACAACGACTGTAATTTCATTTCATTTAACAAAATATTTCAAAAAGTTGTTAAAAATCAGTAGAAACAGACATATATTAAAATGCAGTAAAATCCTTTAATTAGTGTGCAAACCGTGTGGGAGTAAATGATTGATTTCATATAGACATCTTTTTAAACATTCATGTCTTCACGGAAACTATATTTCTCTACAATAACGAATATTACAATATAGAATAATTTTATTAAAATATGCACATAATTTATTGGAAAATAGCTAGTTCCCGAGACAAATAACTCTCTTCCAATTTATTTTAAAACGTGTTATTTTAAAATTACTGTAATGTTGTCGTTTTCTTTCCTTTTTTTTGTAGACTTTTCCTCTTTAGAGTTCAAGTGCTTTCATTCTGGAAATTATCTGTTTTATAATAATTTAATTCTAACATCAGTTTACCGGTTTCCAATGATAAACGAAATAGAGAAAGTTTGTTTTGTTGAATTTCTCGCGAAGTTACTCGATAGTTACCTGCGCTAGCTGTCCCTAATTTTGAAAAAATAGACCAGAGGGAAGGCAGCTAGTCAACAATAGGGGGTACTCTTTTAGCATTACATTGTAACGCTCCCACAACAGCAACGCTGGACATATTCAGTGATGGAATTCGGACCTCCGACCAACATATTGCAAGTCGAGTGCACTAACCAACAGGCCATGTCAGGGCGTAGTAGATAAAGTATGTTTTATTATTATAATTACATGTCTTTCTAAAATTATGGTTTTGCGATTCACACCATATCATCGGTATCTTTCGTTTATTCACGCTGGTAAACTGTCACTGTGTACCCAAACTCAAATGTTCTCAAAAAAACTCTCAAACAAAAATTGGATTGAAGAGGACACGTGAAAGTGTCAACATTTGTACCAATATAAATTTATTGTTGTTCCATAGTAGTGGATTTAGACTTTACATCAACTCAAAATTTGTGTAGCTGTACACATGAATTATGAAACAAGCAAACAACCACTAAGAAACTTTTCTTCTTTCATTCCACCCAATTTGTATTTTGATAATATTTTCATAATACAGTATATAGTTTTATGGGCCAGAGGCCACATTCATGGGATGAAACAGTAAGTATTTAATGAGTTCAACTATACATACAGTTTAGTCCAAGTGTTTCAATGAACAGTCAGATTTTAGTGGATCGTTTGTTTTTACGTAGCCAAGTCAGGCTTAGAAATTGTTCGAATCGTTATAAAGTTGTTATAAAACCTGTTTTAATTCCTATACGGAAAAGGAAACTTCAACAAGTTTAACCGTTTACTTCCGGACATTAGAAAGATTATTGCTACAATTACATTTGTTATATAAAGTATCAACCCGGACATTAGAAAGACTATTGCTACAATTACAATTATTATTTGTTATATAAAGTATCAACCCGGACATTATAAAGAATATTGTTACAATTACAATTATTATTTTTTATATAAAGTATCAACCTTATACTATTTCTCAATGAGCCTATGAATCTCCTTTGAGTCTGAAAAGAAACCGAAAATTCCTGTAGGACAGTATTATAAAATCATGTTCTCAAAATTATAAAAATGAAAGCGTAAGTCTGTGTAATTTAAAGATGCAGTTACGAAAATATTTTATTTTTATCAAAAATATAAGATTTCTTTATGAGAAGAAAGTAATTACTTCTAATATTGTTCATTTAGATTGTTTTGTTAAACATGCCCCCCAGTGGCACAGCGGTATGTCTGCGGACTTACAACGCTAGAATCCGGGTTTCGATACCCATGGTGGGCAGAGCACAGATAGCCCATTGTGTAGCTCTGTGCTTAGTTACAAACAAACAAAACTTGCTAAACTTGAACTTTGCCAAAAATATAAGGCCTATCTCGCGATTCTCCGAATTCACATTGAATCCTCTCGACCTCCGTGTTTTTTGCGTCATCTTGGTTCATTTCGTTTATCTGTACGCAAAAATCTGTAATTTTATCATTACCACTTTTTTTCGTTTGTTTTTCTAATGCTATAATCCTTAATTTTCATATTAACGCCTTGACTTGCTTGCTGACGACACTGGAGCAGTATTACGAAAACGGCTAAATATTTGATAATCCGACTATACAGTGATTAGAGAGAAAATGATGGATATCATATCACTGATGATGAGGAGGGTTGCAAACCACTAGAGAAAACGAAAACCAAGTGGCAGAGCGGTCTGAATATACTCAGAGGTACTCCTTCAAACACAACTTCACAACCGATATTCTGACATATCCGTAGGAAAGTGCTTCATGCTATAAGACCCAGAATACAAAACTGTTGTTCATTTAGCAGTAATGTGGGCCCGGCATGGCCAGGTGGTTAGGGAACTCTACTCGCAATCTGCCGGCCGCGGGTTCGAATCCCCGTCCCACCAAACATGTTCGCCCTTTCAGCCGTAGAGGCGTTATAATGTGAAGGTCAATCCCACTATTCGTTAGTAAAAGAGTAGCCCAAGAGTTGGCGGTGGGTGATGATGCC